CCAACAACATATTTTAATTATTTATGTCCTCAAACAATTTTATTATATTGATGGTAAATTTTGTTTTGTTCAGTTTTGTTTGTTTCAAAAGGTCTCCAAAATGCCATGTTGTGATAATATTAGTAAACAAAATATCCCTCTTATTTCTCCCTTTCGCAATTGTAATATGAATGATTGATAGAAGGTGCCTATATTAAATTAAAATTGCCTGATTCACACCAAATTCGGCACTGACGCACTGCACTGCAGGGCAATTTATGAACCACTTGTCGCCTGCTGTGATTTATTGCCCAGAAGCCCCATACAACTGTGCTCGTTTTCCTTTGGCCGCACTCGCATTCTTCAACTGGTCGTATACATTTCTACCACCTGCACGTTTAGTTCGACCAGACCTATATATGGGTATGGTTAAATAAATATGGGCACAAGTTTTTCAAATATTTCTGAGGGTTGCTTTCGCTGTACAGCAAGAATAAAACGCTCTCTCAACGGTAATAATAAAGAATTTTATTGAAAACTGATGTATAGAAAACTTGTATAGGAAAAGATGTGTTGACGGGGTGAGTGTTGGTTGGAGAGTCCTGGTGTGTGGACTGTGGAGTCGGTCGTAGGTATATGGGCGCCAGCAGCCCGCCGTAGACACTTCTTGGAAGGTTGGTGCGTCCGGCGGCGCTCTTGACGTAACGCTCAAAAATGGGTCACTTGCAACATGTGTACCCACATTTCAATGCCGAGTTGCTGCTTAGCGACCGAGCCTGATGGTACATACCTTGAAATTATAGGTTCTTCAATTGACTTCGGAAAAACTATAGATATACCTGCATATATTGCAAAATACGTTAATCAGTTTGAAATAGTATTAAAATTGACTGTGGTAATAGCCCTTAGATTGAGCGTTGAAGATAATACAAATTACATTGTCATTGTCTTTAAATTCTGTCATACTTAGCCCCTTTAGACATAGGTACTTTCAGTCTCGGTTAAACATTGGTTAAGTAATCAAATGATTAGACTGTACATAAACACATTTATTTTATAAAAGTATATTCACAGTCTAATCGCCTGATTAGTTAATCAAGTCTTAACCGAGACTCAAAAGTACCGGGCCTTAGATTTAGTTTTTTCTCTTAACTAAAAATATTCTTTTCTTTATACTGTTTATATTTTTATTAATAAATAAATCTGTAGTATTAATTTTTCCAATCCTAGTAAATCAAACGGGTCTGACGATGATCCCAAATCCCTAGTGGAGGAAATCCAATCACCACATACAGAAAAACTAATAATGGACCACAGAGACCACGACGACGACATGCCCAGAGAAACTCGTGGTGCTACCAAGGATCAGTGGGTGAAACAGGTCTATCCAGTCCGAAGAAGAGAAGAACTCGAAGATATCTCGGCTACACCGACTGAAAAAGAAATCGTTAGAGCACCAAGAGTGCATTTTGTGACACAAGGAATGTCTGAAAGCTCACCGCGCCCTGAATACACCAGATACGATCGAGAGGCCAGAGCGAGGAATCTAAATAAGGAGTTGTCTTGGAATTTGGGTAGGGATCCTTACAGGGATATGGAGTATTATTACCAACCAAGGTATACTAGGAATTACATGCCTCCATCATCACATTCTAACTACAGGTAAATTATTTTTCGTGGGATTGTAATTAATCTAATTCAATCATTTTAGTCATTATTCTATCATACGTCATTTGTCAGTCATAGTTCAGTTTGGTCAGTATAACCACGATACAGCTCAAATCAGTAACGACATATACTTTTTTTGTAAATAAGTTTTAAGATAAAAAATTGTGACCTTTAGTAAGTTTACCATGTTTAAAAATGAGAAGATATTTTTTCCCACAAAAGCTTGTTTAAAAAAAATACACATGAACTTATTTGCAATATGATCACAAAATGAAATTTTGAAATTTTCCACAATTTTCTGATATTTTTTTAGCTGCGGGTGTCATAAAGAAAAACAGCATTCTAGTTTAGGTCTCCCTAATGCATTGTATAACATAAAACATTTTACATTACTTAATTGTCAAGCATCTCTTATTATAAAATCCAAGGATTTTTAAGCAGATTTAACAATGTGTGTCAATCAGGCTGAGTATGTATCCCATTTTACGCTAAAACGTTATGTTAGAAATAAAGTTTGTAAATAACATGCCGTAAACGGCCCCTATTTTATGTTGTACGTAGGTACCTGTTATTTGCGCACTACGTTGTATTTGTTTCATGTTTCATAACATAAAAGAACTCTTTTAGTTGTATGTGTTTTTGTCTATTGAGTCGGGTATTTATAATAATTCTGCATTATTATTATTATTAAATAATATGTCGGTGAAGTACATTCTCAAAGTTCGCCCCTAAAAACAGTTTTTTGTAAATATCAGGGGTTCTAATCAATATTTTGGATTAAAACAACATGCAAAATTACTTCTTATAAAAAAAAAACAGATGTTTCATCAGTGATTTCGTGTTTGTGGGTTGCTACCCTTATCTTTTATTTCAAAAAACTATATTTTTCAAACATTTTTTGTATATAAAAAATTCATATTTGTTTAAAAAAATTAAAAATATAACTTATGTAAACAAATTGGCAAAATTAAGTTCTCGAACAACGTCATTAGGCAATTCACATG